GCATCCCGAGCTGGGAGGGCTGCTGCTCCTTTCATCCGCTGGGAGCTCCGGCTCCTGGGTCAGGGGGTGTCCCACGGCTCATGCACGAAGAGCCTAGGACACAGCGGTCTGTCCTCATCTTCTCTGTTTTACTCATTTTTATAAGTTCAAAACTTGTCTTTGGCCAAACACCACAACTTTGGGACAGGTCTTTTATCAAAGATTTATTTTACCCAACAAATGAGTGCAGAGTGTCCAGTGCTGCCTCCCATGCCAACAATTTTTTTGTATTCTCAGAAATCTTGATACCTATTCTGTAAAGCCTAAAACAACAAAAATCCGTAGATTCCCCACATGGGCAGTGATATTTATGCAGCGAGATATTTCTGTGTTGCAGCCTTGGATGCTTTAGCAATGTGACCTTTAAAGAATTATGAGGGAAAAAAGTGGAAAAGGTAAAGGCCCAAAATATGAAGCATGTTTTCAAAGTCGATGTCATTTTGCTTTCAATAATTTTTGCTGGCATTTCTGTGAACAGTTTTCTCACCAGTGACATCACACGCATTTCTTCACTCTCTGGGGATGCCTCATCTTATTTCTTGATTCCTTTCCTCCAAGGAAGTGGCTGAATTGTCCAGTTGCATTTTATTACAGGGCACGTCGGCATCTCGTGTCCCTAGTTATAGAGCGCTGTAGGGAAATGGCCTGAATTTAAACCAGGAGGAAAGCCCTTTCTTCTAATTCTCTTTGATCTAAACATCAACATTCTCGGTCATGGGAACATTTCGTGAGCTGATCCGGTGCTGCATGCAAAACAGCTCTCGGTTCTGCAGGAAAGGGCAGCAATCAGCAGGCTGGCTTGCACGGGACAGCTTCACATCCCAGCAACACGTCCTGCCAAAGCGTTATCAGGGATTAGTGCATGGATTTACGCCAAAACCTATCATTACAGCAGTCAAAACCCTATATACTGTTTCCAGCTGGGAAGAAAGCTGTGTCTTCCCCTATGGAATAGCCTCGTAAAGCATGAGGATGTAACCAAGTGGGTGTAAGTGCTCCTCCACCACAACTCACTGGGATTTGTGTAATGGTAAAGTCTTCCTATAGAGATTTGGGGTCATTCTGTGGCAAACTTTATGGCAGGGCTAAAAGTTTTTACAGCTGCTTGTTACCATAATATCCTCCTCATTGCTGTGAGACAGTTCACAGGATCCACGGAGCTATTTTTATTAAATCATGTTTGGAGTTGGTTTGCTTGTTTCCCGAGGGATAGACTGAGCGTAGGCAGCTGCAAAGCAGCGAGCAATCCCCCAGCACAGGGACAGGGCTGTCCCGCTGATGGGGGAGATTTCCCTTACAGTTACTATAGGCTGCGGATCTTTGGGGTGGAAAGGCGATTTGTGCAAGGTAATCGATCCGTTTGGGTAGCTATCAGCCAAATCCCTCTCAAGGGAAACGGATAGATCCTTAAGGAGAAATTCTGTATTACTTCTTAGCAGGAATTGTATGGATAAACCAAAGGAAAAAAAAAAAAGCAAAGAAAAAATAAAATGTGAGGCAAGACTGAATGCAGCACAAAACAAAAAAGAGCTGCCCTGAAGTTATCCCCACTCCCCCTTTGTTATCTTCTTGGGTTTGCTAAATTAAAGCCAGGGAAGAAGGCCCACACAAAGTCACGTGAAGGCAGGCAGGCAGCGTCACTCCACGCAGGGGATAAAGCAAGGATCAGCCCCTGAATGCTGATTTTAGCCATGCTTTTAAATGGTTATCACTTATTCACAGGGATATTATGCCCTTTTTTGAAGTGAGATCACGGTGGTAACAAGCTTTGGGCTCCCTGACTGCAAGACAAGAGCGGTTTAGGCTTCATCAGCTTAGGTGGAAAGAAGTGTCTACCAACATATAAATACATATATATATATTTCTTTTTATATTAAATGTATTATTCCATCAGTTTCATTCCCATCGTTGCCAAAAAGAAACAATATGCAGAGATAACCGTGTCAAATTAAATGTCTTTCTGCCTACGTACAGGTGGAAGGGGCCCTGGTGAAGGGATCATTACTAATTACTAATTACTCCCACTAATTGCCTGCAGAGGTGTGTGTCTGAGGGTTCGGCTAACCCAGCACCCCACGAACTGTCACCAGCAGTGCCACGAGTCCCCAGGGCACGGGAGGGTTTAGCGGGGCCGTATTGCCGAGCCCCAGGACGCTACTGATGTGCTCGCTGGAGCTTGGCACCAGATCATTTAGTAACAGCTCCAGCACTGCGTGATCCGTCCTGCTCCAAGGGAAGAGAACTCCATTAGAGGTTTTACATTAAACACGGGAAAACATCAGGGGTTTGTAGCTGTTTTTAAAAAGCCCTCTCGCTCTCCTGCGTGTTGTGCTCGAGCTCTGATCCTCCCCGTAGGTAAGGCACCGCTCTTATAGCTACCAGAGCTTCCAGAGCTGTTTACTCCTACAAATCCTGGACTATTTTCTTGTGTTCAGTAAGCTTTAAGGCTGACCTAACACTTCTAAAGCGAGGCCCCAACTCTTTGGATGAAAGACGCTTAAGCTCAGCCTGGCAATTTTGATTTCGAACATGTCCTTATGGCAGAGCAACCCAGGCTCAGCTCAGGTGAAGGGGATTTGGATCAATCACTGACACAACTTCTCTCTGGAGGTATTTAGGCTGGGTTAGCTATTTGCCTAAAGCTTCTGCTGCGAGGAAACCAGAGCCCAGATCCAGATGCTGCAGCAGCCCTGTGCCCGCTGGCCAAGCCCTGACCCTTTCTCCAGCCCCCTTGGCAGCCAGGGGGGAATTCCCGACATCCACCCTCTCCAAAACACTTCATTTTAGAGCAACATGTTGGGGTGTAGCAGATACAGCCTCTCTTCACCACGTCTTGCAGCTGAGAGGAGCCCAGCTGGGTTCCTCTAATCGTGATCTTGCACCAAAATTAATAATAACTAAAAAGAAAAAAAAAAGATTAAAATTATAGAAACTGTCTGGCCAGCCTTTTGCTCAGCAGCCTGCGTGAATAATCTTTGCCAGGGCAAACCGGCAGCTGAAATGTGCAGATAATGACAAACAGTAAGAGCAGCTCTCGTTAGACTTTCCCCAGCCCCATTCCCCACTGTGCCCTGTCCCCGGTGGATGCCTGCAATAAGCCGCAGGCTCACGCATAACGATCCAAGATTTGTTAAAGGAAAAAGAAAAAAAAAAAAAAAAGCTTTCCAATCAGTTTTGCCTGCCTGTGAGTAAGCCTCAAGTGATGGTTCAGAGCCTGCTGAGCGTGATTACGGGCTGGGGCTGCTGTTTATGGGAAAGCACAGCCCACTCAGCACACGGGGAGGCTCATCCATCAGCCTGGGCTGGGTTCTGCTCCTCGGCTCTCTCTCGGCTGCCCGAAGCAATGCAGAGCCTTGCAACCATCTGGGCTTGGATGTTTTTGCACTGTTTTGCCCGAGCCCATGGAAGGTTGCTGGGCTTTAACCCCAAACTGTGTGACAGGTTGGTGCAGGCGGTGGTTCTTCACGGCAGCCCAGACTTCTGCCATTCCCCCAGCCTCCCAGGGCTTCCCGTCGAGGGTCCTGAGCTTGCCCTGAGATGCTGCAGGACAGGGCCTGACGGTTCCTGACAACGTGGTGGCACAGAGCAGAGGAGCCTGAGGAGATGGAGACAGCAGAAAACACCTCCCAGAGGAGGAGGCAAATATTCTGGGAGATTGCCCACGCAATGAAATAATTCAAACACATCATTTGAAAAGCTCCGGCATATGTTCTACACCTTCCAAGCCTGATTACTACATGGCAAAACAAATATATAATTTTTCTACATTCCTTTTATGACTTTGTAAATGTTTCAGACTGGACCAGGTCTGCTTGCTCCCACCGGTCTTAACTCTGGCTTCAGTAGCAGAAAGGATTTTGGGGACACCCTTCCTGGTGGCAATGACGTTATTTCGGCATTGAGCCTGGCCTTTTCTTATGGCTAGATTGCAGGAGCTGGTGCCAGGCAAAGTGCTGGTGGAGATGGTTGCTCCCTGGCTGTCCAAAACCTCCTGCAGACACTGTGCTGCTCCAGGATGCTCGCCCTGCCTCACGCTCCCTGTCGCATATCCAAAAGGGTTATCCAAAATAAAAGGGTATCCAAAATTTCCTCTGCCAGGGCTGCAGGCAGGAACAGAGATCGAAATTACCCTCGGTCTCCCGGGTACTTGGGATCAGCTTATTAAGAAGTCAATTAAGAATTGGAAGAATTGGCTGACTGCTGCACAACCCCACGTTTTCGGGCTGGGGAATTAATTCGTGCAGCTGCCGTTCGGGTTAGAGCCGCCCCTGTTTTCTCGGGAAGACACGTGGTGGTCTCTGGGTGCCTCCAGTGTCCCGCTTGGTCGCTCCTCTCACACCTACAGAACAGCTGAGCAGTTTCTGGAGCATGAAGAGAGGGAAAATTTGATTTCCTTAAGGATGCCTTAACATTTCACAGCCTAGTCTGGGTGCCAGGCAGAACCATTGCCCAACTCAGGGTGTAACAAAAGGCAAAAGAACTGCAGGTTTTATTGAGAAGTTCATGCTTGTGCCACAGCAGTGGGTGAGAAAGGGGAGCTCATCCAGCTGACGGAGCAATTAGCATGCACGGGGCTCTCCCCACCTCCTAATTCACTCGGAATAATTCATCAGCCAAAAGCCCTCAGCAGCCATCCTCTGCCGACAGGTCCTGATTGTAGATGTGTTCTTTGATTCACTTTGGAAGATAAATTGACCTGTGAAGCTCCAGTCGAGCGCGGGCTAATGAGTCTCTGTAGGGCCATCATGGGAATTCACTCATTTATCTGAGGATTTGGCGGCAGCGCTCGGCTCCCCGGCAGCGAGGCTGGGGAGACACCACAGCTCCAACATGCTGACAGTGCTGGAGAATGGGTGGTTACCCCCAGCTGAGCGTCTCATCTAAATAATTCACAGCCTGCGAGAGGCACCAAGCAGGGATGCCCCCCACATTTACCCCCCTCTCCTTTTCCCCCCCTGCAGCTTGAAGGCCGTGCTGATGGGCAAGCCGCAGGACAACACGGTGGACTTGTCGGGCATCCCGCTGACGCTGAAGGACCTGGAGCGCATCGCGTCCTACCTGCAGCACAGCTCGGAGCACATTGACACGGTGGAGCTGTGCTTCACCGAGCTGACGGACGAGATGCTGCTGCAGCTGCTGCCGGCGCTCTGCGTGCTGCCCCACCTCACCACCCTCTCCCTCAACGGCAACCGGCTGACCAAAGCCATCCTGCGGGACCTCACCGAAACCCTCAAGGACCCCAAAAAGTTCCCCAGCGTCACCTGGATCGACCTGGGCAACAACGTGGACATCTTCTCCTTGCCCCAACCTTTCTTGGTCAGCCTCAAGAGACGCTGCCCCAAGCAAGGCAACCTGCCGACCATCCTGGAGTTCGGCGAGGGGCAGGTGAGCGATTTGGAGAGCCAGGATGGCCGGGCCGAGAGCCAGGAGGACCTGCGAGTCGATGAGGGTGATAAAACCCGAGCGGGCACGACCGACAGCATGGGCTCACAGCAAACAGACAGGACGGTGGAGGCCGGGGCGCTGCCCGGCTCGGAGCAAGGCGCCGCCACAGCGCAGACGTGATGCTCGGCACCGCGGTGGGCGCGTTGGGCAGGGGTGGCAAACCCGAGACCTCCACAAGCGGGGTCCTGGCAGAGGGTGGGCGCAGGCGGTGGGGATGCTCTGGGAGCGCAGAGCGCCGCCTGCCTCCCCCGCCACGAACGTCGACGTCGTTCTCCTCGACGACCGCACGGACGGGATGGCGGTGAATATTGACATTGTGGGAAAGCTGGCCAGGGATTTTTTTCAAACGTTAATGCTATTGCTTTTTAACTCCTTAAAAAACGCATCGTCAAGGTGGTGTAAGGGCAAGGCCCGTAGAAGAGCACAGAAGCGGAGAAGGAAGGTGACCAGGTCTTATAGGATCCCGGCTGGCCTCACGGACAGCCCTTGGCAGACAGATGCCACAGCAGGACTTCAGACCTCTCCCAGCCTGACTTCAGGAGCTGCTGAATAGCGTGCCTGGTGAGACGAGCCCAAAACCTGATCACACACCAAGTGGGGGTGTCCCTGCTACCAGCCCCATGGGAGGGCTTTGCCTTCCTGATGCTGGCACGGAGCTAGATCCCGTGCCTGGATGCTGCCCTCTCCAGCCTTACCAGAGCTGGGCTGGCCCTGCTGCCTGCCTGGGGTTTATTTGGCTGTAAAATCCCCCTTCCCACCGGCTGTGCTGCTGCAATGACTCCAGGGCTTCTTCCCATGCGGTACCTGGAGCTGGCAGCAGGGCACTCGGTCTGTCCTGGGGAGTGAGCGGTGAAGTCCGGAGCTGGGTCTCAGCTCAGGCTCGTTGCTGTTGCTGCCAGAAGAGGCCACAATCCCAAAGGTTTATAAAAGAAAAAAAGAAATCCAGCCCCTGGGGTTTTCTCCCCTCTATCACTGCCATTCAGGACTGGGTGGACGCGGCCAGCCGAAGCCTCAAAGCCTCAGAAAGGTTTTGGGGTCACTTGGCTGTGTTCACCCCCACCCGGACCAGAAGTGCTTTGTTTGTAAAATGCTTTTTTTTGTTTGTTTGTTTGTTTTTAAGAGACATTGATTTTATTTTATTTTTGGATGGAAAACAGATCACAGCAGAGCATCAGCATGGGAATACACTTCGGCTTCTGAACCACATTTTCATTTGATCCTAAACCTGGGGAAGGGCAGGAAAGTGGGAAATCCTTCCCCTCCCTTACATCCAAAGGACCAAACAAGACTCCCCTTGCTGAGAGGGAACCCCTCTGTATCCATCCACAGCCTTCCCCCAACCAGCCTTGCAGCATCATTTTCTGCCTCGGAGCAGTGACCCTCTGGCTTTGATTTTTCTGGGTGTAAACAGACGTTTTGATCATTCCTTGGGTTCTCTTCATTTAACATCACTGCACAGGAGGCTGCACACCTTTTCCAGGGGGGTTCACGCTGTCGGTTGTTGTTTCTCCTCCATATGCAAGTAGGTAACTTAGAAGAAACTCTGCTACTCCTTTTACTACATTTGGCAAAGTTGAGTATGATTTGCATGTATACAAACCTTTTTTTTTTTTTTAACGCTAACTCTTTCCAACAGGCATGAAGAATCTTTGCAGTGAATAAACTGTTCTGTTTGAAATAAAGGAGCTATCCGTAATCAAAATAACTGAAAATGTTTAATAAAGAGTTGGCACTGAGATCTCTGTGCAGCCGGCTGCCCAGCTCCCTGGTGCCCCAGAGTGCCCATGGCCGCAGGGGCTCAGCACAGAGGCTCTGTTTCTCCAGGTCTCAGCAAAGAGTCACTCTAGCTGGCTAGAGAAATAAACAGCCCTATTCAAGGACTGGATTTGGTAGATTCAGGGGGCAAGGGATGTGATGGAGATGGACAGCCATCCTTATTTTACGTGTAAGAAATAAGTAAGAGCTCTCTTGGTACCCCAGTGCTCATCACACAGCTTCCCTCCCTCCTGTGCACAGCCCAGGTTCCCCCCCACCTGTTTAAATTATTTAAATCATAAGCTCCCTGCTGCACAGCTTTTATTTTCTTTAAGTATTTGCACAGGAACCAGCTGCCCGGGGCCTCAGCATCCACCTGGCCCCCCCAGCCTGGCTGTGCAAATCCAAAAACCAGAGCTACTTTGCATTTAGAGAGCTGCATCTTTTATTTATCCTTTGTACACCGACTTCCCTCACTGACAAAGCATCAAGCTCATTGCTCCAGCCATATTTCCCCCCTACTTGAGCTTCTACGTGCTGCAAAACGCATCGGGAGCTGGTTTGCATTTTTCTCCAGGGCTGCTGTGCAAAGGACGAGCCTCTGGAGAGCCCCCACATCCCCGTCCTTACACCACGAGAACAAGCCCTGCTCTCCCAGCATGGACAGGCTGCACCAGTGTCACTGTGTCCAGCGAGATTTATCTCCTCTGAGACAGGGAAATAACAGACAAAGGCTTATTATTGAAATATTCATGCACGCTGAAGCCTGCACCACATTACTGACCGTCATAGGAAAAGAAAAATAACGCTGCTCTAAGAGATGGCGTTGTCATAAAACCAACAGGGCTTTAGCAACTCTTCCTTGCAGTGGGGGTGAGGTTAATTAGCCATTTATTGCACTTCAGCATGATGCTGGTCCTGTGGGCTCAGCAAAGAGTGATTTTTTTGATTATTTTTTTTTTTTTAAGACCACAGCATGAGACTGCTTCCCTGCCCAGCCACCAGCAGCAGAACAAGGGTGGAGCTCACCCCATACACAATCAATGTTTCCCATGCTACAAGGGGCTGCTTGTCCTGGTCAGAAGCTCTTAAATGGCCCTACAATAAGTATTTGAGTACTGAAAATCACTGCTGCAGATTATTAAAGCTGACTGAGGTCATTTGTCATCAAGGTGAGTGGGAAATGCCCACCTTAACATAAAAAGTCCATAAAAACATACTGGGGAAGCAGGCTCCAGGGCTTGTCCTTCCAAAGCCCTCAGCCAGGCCCCACACGGAGCCAGGACGTTTCCACCCGTGGCTTAACTCAGCAGCCGGGGGGGTGATTTTAGTGGCTGTAGCCAGGCCATAACAAAACCTACACAAATCCCGTGGGTACTGCGAGGAAAATCCACTCTTGCAAGAGTGCACCCGGGTAAACCAAGAAGAAATGGGTAGGAGCAAAGGAGGATTTGCAGGATGCAGTTTTCCCAGGGAGAAGATGCCTCTGGGGGGGATTTCAGCGCAGGACACAAGAAGGGAGATGAGCGAAACCCAGGCAAATCCCACCCACAGCGCGTGGGATGAGAAAACCGTCTGCGTAACAACCCAGGGGGAGGTTAGGCTAAAGCTGTCAGCCGCTGAACCACGCTACCTGCTGCCTCATCTTTTTCTCCTTATTAGTAGAAGAAAAAGTCCTGGCTAGGGGGATCTGTTGCATTATTTATTGGCAGCTCACGCTGGTGTGTTTAATGCCAGGCAAGAGATAGCGCGCAGGCTGCTGGAGCTCAGCTGATAGGCAAAAATGTTTGTAGTGGCAACTGGAAAAGCAACCATTATCCCGTAAGGGCTACCTGGTTTACATGCGAAACACCGAGCAAGCACAGCCAGAAACCAGAGGGGTTTTAGTCCTTGCTGTTCAGGGAGCTCTGAACCAAAACGACCTTGCAGCTCAGACGCGCACGGTTCTTGCTGGAATCGCTTTCGTTGCCGGAGCAAAAAGGCTGACGCTGAAACACGTCAGGGCCCAGAAGAGGAAAAACAAACATAAAAAAAAAGGTGCCAGATGGCAAATACTGAGCGGTGCTGAGGACCAGGCTCCTGCAAGCGGGGATGGATGGGCCAGGCCACCCTCCCCTTCCCAGCCCATCGATCACCTCCCACATTTCAGGGAACAAACATCCCTCCCTGTTGATAAATTTCCCTTTTGCTCTGACCACAGTCTACAAAAGCCCTGAGGTTGCGTGTTGTTTTGATGCTTATGACAACACAAAAGGTCTCAGACGGGATCAGGGCTCTCCTGCAGCAGATGCTTAGAAACAAGCCCTGCCCCAGCACGTTGTAACCCACGTGGAAGGGACCCAATTGGGTCTGGGGTGGGCGAGCAGCATTTGTTTGCAGCCACGGCTCTTTCATGCCCATGGAATGCCGTACCCAGGTGGAAAACCAGCCTTTGGCAGTGCAAATGTAAATGCCTCCGAAAAACATCAGGGCTGGGGTTGCTTTTCTCCCCTGCACCAAGGCTTTGAAACCACCTTCTGACATCCTAGGGAAAAGCATTCGATCCTTTACAGGAACCACCAGCAATCAGACAGACACACGGCTGAATTTCTCCTTATTTCATGTCTACCGAGCACCAGTAAAGCTGTCTCTGCTGGAAGTTATTTAACACTTCTGCTTTGCAATAAATATGAACTGCTTCTGTTACTCATCCAAGGCCTCCTCCTGCAGCAGAGTGCCTGCCCCTGGGGAGATGCCCCACGGCGACTCGAGCCAAAATTCAGGCTGCCAACAAGCCCCAGAGGGAAGCGCCTGGCGGGTTCCTCGTCGTCTCCTACATCAGCCCATGGTGAAGTGGCAGCAAGGCGGCTCCGAGACAGGCAATAACCCACAAAGGTTCCTTGGGGGGGTTTAATAGGTGCCAAAATGGCATCCGCTGGGACACGGCTTTTCTGGAAGCAAACACAAACTGATTTTGGACAAATTAACATTCATTACTGAGCTCCTACAACTCGTGCCTGCTCCCTAACTTCCTCCAGCCTCTGTTCTCACAATTTCCCCTGGGAGGGTAGGAACCACGTCCCGGATAATGGGCCCAACCTGGCTGCTGGGCCCTCAACCTGGAGGTCTGCCCACCCACACACCCCGGTGCCCTCTTTCTTTATCTTATTTTCCATGCCATGCACGTTGCTGGCATACCTAATAAGGCTGGAGCACGGAGCGAAGCAGCCTCCAGCAATGCTGCAGCAGTTCCAAAGAAAGCCTCAAATCGCGTGGAAATCAGCTTGGGCTGGAGCTTGCCAAGTCCCAGAGTGGCACAGCCACGTGCCAGGCTCCTGAGCAGCTCTGCTGCAGGTCGGAGGGAAGGAAAGGCAACACACGGGTTTTGCTTTCCCTGGCTTTTGTTTGTGTTTTGTTTCGGCTTGCCTTGAGAAGAAGCAGAGTAGATCTTCACTTAGATATTCCTTAATAAACTAGTTTTGTTTGCTTTGTTTTTTAATTAAAATACAGTGAAAATCACATCTAGTATCATCTGGAGGTTTGGTGACTACAACTGAAAAGAGAAAGAGGCAGAACCTGTGTAAGGTAAAATTTTATTTCAGGGTGGAATTTTACCTAATTTGTGCAAGGTCTGTAGGCTTTTTTTAAACCATATATTGCATTAACCACCTAGCACAAAGCTTAGAGCTGTACTTTGAACATGCATGGTAGAAAGGAGGATTTCAGGATCTCTTACCCCAAGATACCCCTTCTCGTCTGTCTGCTCCTTCCAGACCATTGACTACAGGACAGAAATCCCTCCAGTGACTCAATATTTGTTTTTTGAACAGTTAAAAGTGGAAAACCAGTTAATAGTATTTGCAGATGGTTTAGAGCTGTATAAAGGCAAAGGGCTAAGAATATGGGAGTAAATTTAATCCACTGACCCAAACATTGCTCTGACTAGAGGACAAAACCCATGGGCAGCTCAGCATCTTTCACCACGCACTCAAAGCTAACGCCCACCAAAAGAGACTCCTAAGTGACTTCTTTTTATACAATGCCTTCAAAGACCAGTTTTCCTAAACATCATGAAAGAATAGCCAAAAAATAAGCCGAACATCCAAAATATGGAATTTGTATTGAGCTGGGTGCTTGTTGGGAATGCTGCCGCTAAGTTTCTTTGCGTATTTCTTTGGGCAGCCACAATCACTGAGCTGGTGGGGAAAGAAAATATTTAATCCACGTGGCTGGGGCATTAGAGTTAACAAATCATTAGTGCAGAATTCACCAGGACAAACTGCACTGAACACTGCTAACTGTAAGGACTGGAGGGGCCTGGGATCCCAAGCTGGACCCGTGTTTGGGATCACAGTGCCGACAGCTTGCATGAAAACTGCTTAAGCCCACGACTCAGTTACTGTTCAACGGGGAATTGGAGGTGCTTTGTTTCTAGGCTCAATGGGGCTTACGTTTTCTATCTTCTCTCTTGTAAGTATGCAGAGAAGACAGCTGTTTTACCTTTGGGTGAGCTTATGGCTTTACATAAAATTGAAAACCTGGTTTAATATAGTCAAAACAGGCATGAGTTGTTCAACACCACCCTTAATTATTTGTGCAGATTTCTAAATCCATTTCCAGGGTTTTCTGCCTCCTAATAGCTTATTGATTTTGTGGCTTGTCTGCCACCGTTTATTCTTCTTTGCATTTTAGTAGTTCTGAGGAGAAAGCAAACCCATGCAGCCTGTTTCAGCCCTCAGGAAGGGGTTGCTAAGCTGCATCTGGCGGATTTGGCTGAGGAACCAGCTGTCAGCACGGCTCTTTAGGAGCCCTCTTGCACACTGCATCCCTCAGTGAGTTGTTAGTGGAAATCACAGCTAGAATTAGACCTCAGAGCATCATACTACAGGCACATCTGTCCTCCAGGTATGAATACCTGGAATAAATACACAGGAACTCAGGCTGGTTATATGCAATACTACAAGAAAAGGGAAGGGACATTGGCTATAACAAAATCCAGCTGCACTGCCATGGGAATGAGCCTCCCTTTTCCTCTTCTGCAACTGCCTCTTGTCCTCCTACTTCCTTCAGGCAAGACCTGCAACTTCAGCTTCAGATACAAATGAAATGTAAGGAGGCAGAAAAGAGTCAATCTTTGCCCACACTGTGCTCTGGTACACGCTAACCCAGCTCCTACCGAACAAACTCCTGTTGAATCCTGCACATAGCAGTGCAGGCAGAAAGCCTCAGAGGTGGCTGTGTCCCCACACACACAAAATAGGAGAGAGGCATCTCCTTCAGAGCTACCTCCACACATGCCTTTCCCATCGAACTTCACCATTAATTTGTTGCTTGCTTTCATCTCCTCTGTACACACCTGCCTGTTCAATTATGAATGCAAAGGCTAAGTCATTTTCCAGCAGCTCTGGGGGAAGCTGCACTTGCCTGCAAGCTCAGAGCTCCCCTCCACCACATGGAAACAGCTTTTCGCAGAGCTGCAGGCGAAAACACAAAACTCAGCCTGTTTCATATCCGTGCCCTTTGCCTGCCTCCATTTGCCACGCAAACCTGCCAGCTACAGCTACCTTCAGGGTCTTTGCAAGAGAAGGAAAGGAAAAGATTAGCAGGCGCATTAAAAGGGTGAGATTTTCAGAAGAACAAAGCCCCTTTCCAAGCAGCTGAGGAGGAAAGGCTTTGCAAGTGTGCTTAAGCCAACCAGGTGATAGGCATCTCCCCAACAACTTGCAAAAAAGTAAATGTAAAAAAAATGTAAAATCTGTCCATTGTTCAGCTAGGAATAGAAGCAGTAGGATAGGTTAGAGCACAGCAATGCTCAGATCACCAAGGCCATCGCCTGGAGATGGATGGTTTGTCCTGCTCAACATCCAGAGAGAGCAACACCACTTCCAATGCTAATAAAACGTTATAAACTGGGAGGGCACACAGTCAACAGATGAGAGAAAAAAAAAAAAAAAAAGGAGGATGGGGAAAGGGGGAAATGAAAAATCAGATCAGAAACAACACGGTCAGCACAGAGCCCTGGGAGCTCTCAGAGCAGCCGCAGGAGGGCAAAAGGGCTCAGAGCCACCACAGCGTTTGGGACAAGTTAAGAGAAGAAAATCAAGCAATTGGTAAATTAGAGAGAAACCCTGTGCTACACGGAAATGCTGCAAGCTCAGAGAGTCACAGCAAGCTCCGTTAAACCTTTCCACCACTCGCTACTCCAACACTTTCCATTTTTCAGACGCGCCGGGTGGTGGCACAGGTCGCTGCCTGCAACGTGCGACAGGAACCAAGTCCCCAGAGCAGCACCAAGCAGCTGCTGCGGGCAACCTAGGAGAAAAACCTGCTTCCCATCTCCCATCTCAGCCCTCTGCACGTCTCGCTGCTGGAGCTGTCCTTGTTCTAGCTCATTAACCTGAGCAGATACTGCTTCTTTAAGCCGCAGGACTAATTAGGAGGCAATAGAAGGCAGGAGTTATTTTCCCTACACCCCTGCACCAGGCTGTACATACACCCAGTGGAACAGCAGCTTTATTTTAAGGGGTCATTTTCATACAAAGTGCATCTTGCAGACAGCTCTTAGCAGCCAGATGGGTGATGTTCTTGGCTGCTAACACAGGGGTATTGGCGCTCTGCCTGCCACACCAGCCGGATTTAAAAGTTAGCACCACACAACTTCAACACAGCTCACATTCAAAGGGATTAAAAAGGGATTCTCTGGTGGTAACTGTATGCCAGGATCAAGTAATCAACCATACCCGATAGGAAATAAGGTCCCAACCCATCTGAAGGGCATTTCTGAATCAATGCCACATAGGTGCAACAAAACATTGTCCTTGCTGTGCAACTTGGGTATTTGCGTTCAAGTCTCCGTTACCTTGTCCTTATTTTAATCCGTGTACTTCCAACTCACCAGTTTCTTTCCCCTCTCCTTCCTAAACCCACCAAAACCCCTTCCAAAAGCAGAGCTGCACCTCACATCGAGCTCCTCGAGCTGTGCAGAGCTCAGGCAGGCTCTGGTGCCAGCAGCTCCTCCCGAAATCCCTCCCTGCACCAGGATCAGCATCTGCCCAGCCACATTTCCTCCTCCCTCCTTAACCTCTAGGAAAACCTGCAGGGTGGGATTAGACACCAATTTCTCCAGGTATCACCATTTTTCCTACCTGCTGTAATTCCTCTTAGTCACCAACTCTTCTTCCTCTGGCAAGTGTGACCTGCTGCCTGCCAGTCTGCTGCTTCAGGGGCTTCTTTCCTCATCACCGCCTCGAAGTGCAGCTTTCTGTCCTCACCTGCATCCCCAAACCACCCAGCACTGCCCACTTCGCTGCCACATCCCTGCAGCTTCCACCCTGCAGGAGAAATCAGATAATAAACGTCGTGTTCTTTATTTATAGAGTACTGGATTCTGTTAAGGAAAGAAAGAGAGGGAAAAAAAAAACAAAACTTGCCTTGTGCCTGAGCTGAGTGTTTTGGGGAGCACTAACTGGGAGACAGATGTTTAAAATGAGGGGGAGGCTCAAAACGAGGAGAGCTGCAAGTGGTGCCGCACCTGGAGCACCAACGAGCAGCAGCTGAGCAATCACCAAGGGTCAGCAAATGCCCAGCCCAGCCCTGTGCCAGTCTGTGAACAGCCTCGGGGTTTTTTTAGGGAGGGTTTTGCAAGCTCTAGCATTGTTCAGCTCGGATCGTGCCACCCCTCCTGGCAGTTACCTGCAGACTTTGCTTTTTGGCATGTGATCAGATCATCAGAGGCTGTAGGGGGGATTAGGGAAATTGCCAGGCTGATTAGGTGCGGCTTTAATCCCTCAGATCGGGAAATAAGACCTGCAAAACTCGAACCTAAGGGCTTTGGTGGAAATATCTCCACTGCATCTGTCAGAGAGCACAAATCTTATTTTGTATTTACAGTTCTGCACAAATACCCTCTCTTAACCGACCCCAAATCCTCACACCCCGTATCCGTGCTCCCGGTTGTTGTCTCCAGAGGGAAGATGTTTCCCCCAGTGCAGTGTTACTTCACTGCCACTTTCTACTTTCTTTTTTTAATCTTGCTTTTATGTTCCCTCTGACATCCACCATCTCCAGGCACTTCACACGTCTCCTGCAGCATCCCATCTGCGAACCCAGTGCTCTGACCTGCTGCTTTCTGGCTGAGAGGAGCATCCCTGGAGGCAGAACTGCCTTCTCCACCTTCCTTGCAGAAACTCCCTCCGAAGGCACAGGCTGATGAGCTTTCCTAATGGAGAAACCAACCTCAGAAACGGGCTGAACGTGGCCAACAGGCACCCAGAGCAGGGGCATGCATCAGACCAGGGCTGACCCTTTATTTGTGTAACCAGCTCCAGGCCTTGCACGGGTTCTTCACCCAGCTGCGGTGTCAATGCTCTTCCCTCAGTCCTGCTGTCTGCCTCAAAACCCTGCTTTCTCCTCATCTTTAGCCTCTGAGCTGCTGACACGCCGCCAAGTGACACAGTCACTGCTGCTGTCATCTCCCAAACCCTTTTTGAAGCATAAAAGCAGTAGCTTTGAAATCCTCTCCCCTTGATGTGGTCTCCCATTTTGCATTACCAAACAGCTTGGCACTGACACAAAGGCTCTGTTGCCTCCTGCAAGAGGGAGCCTCTTCCTCCCCACTGTGCAGATGCTCCTGCAGAAGCACACAGGCTGGCTTAGCGAGGTGATGGGATATGTATTAAATCAAATTTAAAGTGTAACTTGGTACAGTGGCTTTCCATTATTTTCTGAAATCACCGTGGCATTTCCAAGCTCCAGGTTCGTACCCTGCTTTGAAACAATTCTCATCATTTTCACAGCAGGCACCCTCTGCATTTCACATCCCAAGGAGCACTCAGCAAAAGATTTTATTTATTTACTGCTACAGTTGAAGGTAATAAATAGCTGGTTTGACATTACTTAAGTAAAAGCATTTATCCAACAACCCACCAAGTTGCCCCTCCCTTTTCTCACTCACCCCATAAGTCTGATCTCCGCTTTCTTTACCCATGCTGTGGATATAATACAGCTTCCCAGGAACACTGGCAGACCATTTCAGGGTTATCTGATGAAGGCACAAGAGATGTAAAGCATTTCAAATGTTTCATCTGCTGTCACTGCGGGCTGTGTTAAATGGCTGCTGGACAGCAGATTGCTTGAGCACTAGCACTGCATTTGCTAGCAGATAAGCACTCCGATAACATAATTATTATAGGAAGTGTTCTATACCACTGGTATCGTGATCCAGATATTTATTAATAAAGTTTAAGCTCTTCAGGAAAATTCACTATCTGGGTGGTAAGCTTAGACTTTGCCTCTTGGCTGGGAAGTTTGTCTCAATGTGCTAGCATCAAACCTATTCCATCCTTCAAAAACAGCACCAAGCTAACACAAATCATCAAATGCAGATGTCAAATGTACAGAATACAAGAAAAAAGACAGACAACCAAACCTGAATAAATTATCCTCCTAAGGGACCTGGAAAAGTGCAAGAAAGGAGGTAATTAAAAAAAAATAAAATCTAGAAAATAAGATGATCAAGAAAAAAAAAGCCCAACAAAAAGCCATAGACAGTATTGGGAACATGGATCATTATTCCATTCATTTAGCAAGTTCAAGTTGCAGCTGTGCTACGCAATCCTTTTATCACAAACCATTACAAATACAAACCCTAATTATGAAAAATCTAACTACCAAATTGTGAAAACGAACAAGTGTCTAATAAGAGAAGCACGTACAGGAGAGCTCTTTATCTCCAAATTACTGGAGATAAAACTTTTGGCATTTCAAATTGATTAAAACAGCAGGGATTTCAAATTCCATCTCCTTAATATTAACGATTTACTCATTTGTATTTTGCTCAGGGTTTCCAGCTCCACATGCAGGTGCTGGTCTGCAGAAGGTGTTTATTGACTTCAGCTGAGCTGAAGCTCCACACTCACCCCAAGAGATGCACCTGGGCTTTGCTGCATGAAATGCAGCAGGTCCTGAAGCTGAATGCACTTGAGAGAAAGATAATGAAGGGGAGGCTGCTCGTCATGCTTTGTTTTTATTTTTGCTAGAGAAAAATGAACTGTCACTCCATCGGCTCATCACACTGTTTAATCATGAGCTGTGTCACTCCCATCAAAGAAAACAGAGGCTCAGCCTTTGCTGGTTCTACTCTAAGAAACGTTATTAACAGCCAATTAAAGTGACATCTTCACTGTACAGGGGGGATTCTCTGTGTGGTAATGAAAGTTGCAAATCTTATTAGAAGGAAATAGCAGAAACACCACGTTTCCCCAGACAAGCACCTTCCGAGGTCTCAAAATCTTCCTCTACAGTAAATGCTCTGAAGGTGATGGCTGCACCATCTTGTGGTCTCAAACATCGTGTGGTAAAACAGGGCAGATGTTCTCCCTCTTCCTGAATTAGAGCCCAGGTGCACAAATACTTACATTTTTCTAAATATATTATTTTTTTTGCGTGCACTAAACGAAATTCCACCTGTTCCCTTCTTAAAATCTCAAGGAGGGTTAGGACAAGTTCATTGTATTTGGACTAAAATTGATGTTAAGCGTAAAACTGAGACACTAAATTACACCAACTGACAAAATAAGATGCTTTTGTTCTACCAGACAACTAAATAACGTGTTGACCTTGTCCTTCTTTATAGAAACACACAAAATGTGACAAAGCTTTGGCTGCACAAAGCCAATCAGGTGTTACAAACATTGCTGAGCTCAAGGCCCCGGTTAGGAAGGTCAAACGTCCCATGGGTTATTTGGAGTAGCTCAGAGTCTGACTCCAGCATCTGAAAAACTAACAAAGCACTTGCTAATGCAGGAGTTGGAAGAAAACAAACCTCTAAATTTTCCTTGCATGACACTAATATCATCTTAGTCATTCCCTGCCAGAAAACGGCAGTTCCTCTGACGGCGCCTTGCTTTCTCCTCCACTAATTTGAAACGACGAGGGAGAGAAGAGGTGAAAAATTAACTGCTCTTCCATCTACCTTCAAGAAATAAGGAGTGAAGTTTACAATTTAGGACAGTCTTCATTCTGAAATATGCAGTACATCCCTTCCTCCCTTCTAATTAAGTTGATACAGCCAGCCAGAATTGACTCAACTGGAATAGCAGCTACCAAGCCAAGAAAGAGCACGTTTTTAGATTGGCTTTAGTTAATAGCTGGGATCTATTAATTATAGTAATTCATGGTTTCGCTAGAGCGCTCATTTTAATGCTTATGTAGATATGATTGCTTTACAATAACTAATCAGGAAATAATGATAATCAGCATTTATACGAAACATGAAGCTTGCAAACTACAAGCGTGCTGGAAAGGCAGCCGCCTCCCCACATTTTCTCAGCCCCCGATGACATTACCCACACCATGCTTGCTTTCCCATCCCACAGCTTTTTTTATGCAGCATTGGAAGGAACAAGGGATGAAACCAATGCACCTTCAACTGGCATACTCAAACCATTTGCACCGTGCACATTTAATGCTTCTTTTGATTCATTCTCCCACCTTCAGCACTGTAACACCTCAGCCTATTTTTATTATTTATTTTATATTCTGCCTCCAATGGACTTGCGAGCTGCCTGTTTGTGCCTTTTAGCATAGTCGGCTGACAAATTCCCCAAATAGATTACAGGTCAGCACCACCTCGTCTTGTTTAGTGTCCTACATATAAAGGAACCTGAGGATTTGAGTCTGCTTATGATTATGTGAGAATTCACATCACAAAGTGATCTCTACTGTCGGCGCCCTCAGCACCATCTGAGTACAGCAGGGAAGATGTGAATGGGAACAAGGAGCCTATTACCCAGAGCAGCTCCTCTCCATCAGGTCAGCAGTTACAGCATGTAGTTTGTGGATAATAGCACCATATGTAATCATTATGTTTTCACACAAATGAATTACTACATGACATCGGCATCTCGATTATTGCTAAGAACTGGCACTCAGCCATTCTTTGCTTCACGGCGTAAGATTTATTTTCTTGCTGCTTTAATACTATCATCTATTTTAGAATTATCTGTGGTTGTCAGCTGCTTAAGTGCCAGGGACTCCTGCCAACTGCTCTCTTAAATCTTCAGAAAATCCAAAATAATTGTGTTTTAAAATCAGGATTTATTTTTGTCACTTATTTCATAACACCGGAAAGTTGATGTCTTTTAAATGTAGTAAAACCAGAATGATCTTATTTCCCCTCCCCCCTCCATGCACTGTTAGGATAAATACTAAGATTATTTAATGTTTCCATTTAAGTTCATAGTAATACTTTATGTTCAGGACACCTGTTTTGGTCAAAAGGCACTACATTCTAATAGGAACAACACTTTTGTATTCATTCATCTTAGCAAAAAACAGCTTGTTATGAGGATCCCTGCTGAGGAACTTTGTTTTTGATGAAAACAATAAACAAATTCCAAAAGGAAACTCTTGAATAATTAATCATAATAGATACCACCAACTTGTAACCTCAATAAACCTAGATAAGCTGTTTCCTGTTTACTAAAGTATTCCCAAATCAACTCTTTCCCATTTTAATGAGATCATTCTGATACATACAAGCAAGAGCAATTACAAAAATAGGTTGCAGCAAAACCTATCTTGAGCAAATTAAACAGCACATTGAACTGCTGAGCAAAAAAAACGCTGAGAAGTTTCAGTTAACAGGGGGCGTGTGGCCACGGTAACCTCCATTATCACTAATGGCATACAGAAACGCATTTAAAATGAAGTCAGGTTGCTTGAGCTCTTCCTGAAGACTTTAAGAACATTAATTCCAGTACGTATCGTGTCAGCTAAAAGAAAAAAATATCACCTGTCAACAAGTTCTCATACACAAGTTTTTAAAATTATGTGAAAATAATTTTGTTTCTTAAAACAGGGAACAGAATGCAACTATTTAGAATTTTAATTTAAACAAACATTAGAGCAAACTGTTCTTCATATTATTCAAGTATGCATTCAGGTAAGAAGAATCTAATTAGATCCAAACAACTTTTGCATACTCCATTACCCAGGTTGAATGTTTACATTAAACTCTCTATCACAATAATGCCCTTAGGAGGAATCCAGATTAATTTACCTGCACGGTATTATACTATCAGGCAGTCCATGACTTTTAGATGTTTCTCTGAAAAATACTTAACCTCTTCTGGCATGATTAAAACATTTAACTCTGGCTTTATGCTGGCAGAAGTCTCTGAAATACTATTTCATACAGTTAATCCCCTAAGCAAAGATTTATGTACTGGTTCTACTGATATGAATTGGATAGCATTCTAGAGCCTTGTGTAACAGAGCTATGTTAATTTATGACTATTAAAAGTTAATTTCTTTCAACTTTCATTCTTGACTGGCTATTTCAAAGAGCACAAGTGAATTGTGCAGAACTGTTTTGAGGTCATTTCTAACTTCTTGCTCAATCAGTTAGTGTCTGGTTAAGGAATAACAAGCAGAAATGCAAAATTCAGCTAAGGCAAAGATAAACCTCGCTCCCCACTGGTAAAAATGGTGTTCCAGTAACTACAGCGTCCCAAGAGATTGGCCTCTACCAAATACACCCTTCCTATGAACCTTAGGAAAGCAGGAGGCTGGGACATGCCAAGTGCGTCAAGTATGTTCCAGTTCAGCCAGTGAATAGTGTCACGGTCCTTTCAAACCCCAAACCTGTGGCTTAACAAGACCTTACGTGCCTTTTGTACGGCCATCAGACACCACAGCTCACCTGTGATGCCACAGCAGCTGCAACAAGCCACAGCACCTTCTTTCTTTACCTAAGCTACACAAGGAATGCAGTCACAGCTGGGGAGGTCCCTGAAGTTTCACCCGTCCCTCAGGGGTGAAAAAATATTGACACTCCCCTGTCACTGCTTTCTCCCTTGTCTTGCCATCCTGAGAGGAAGCAAACCCTCTGACAGTGGTTTTATGGACTACAAAATCCCTGGGTACATCCGTCCCCTGCTTTTTGTTTTATGATTATCAAGAACTGTTCACCTAAATTACTACAGTAAAAATACTACTCATCACATGAGCCAGGATTTTTGACTTTAAGGTGTTTTGTCAGCTGTCTTTAAAGGCTACTTCCTGGCCATACACCCTCTGACAAAACTTAACATGGAACAAGATTCATTGCTTTCAGAAGCAAGATGTATTTTACTCAGAGCTATACAGTTAACATTTAGATTGTTGTTGGCACAGCATGAGTGTGTGGTCACAATTAATTAATTAGTGATCTTGACCTTTTTCAGAATGCACACCTTCAAATCTGCACTAAAAATTTTCACTTGGTGACACCAAGTGGGCAAAATGATCAGCAACATATGCACTGATAGGCTGTCAGTGCACATGCTCCATCATTTTACATATGGTGAGACAGATTCCATACCTCCTGTACAAATATAAAAAGAGCACTGCAGTGTTCGAGCCCGCCAATTTTACTTCCATAATAAACCTCAGTGGAAGTTTCAGCCTCAGATGCGGTGTTTCTCATCCCAGCATCTCCACTTTAAAGATTCCTCCCTAAACTTGGCACCTTCCATTAACCTACCTTCATTGCACATCTGCCTTAGAGTGGGCACTTATCACAAAAGCAGCCTTTTTTGCTCTTACCAGTTACACCCAGATAGCCAACAATTTGCAGAGGATCTTTCCATTCCTCTGCATCTGGAAATTACTTCTCACATTTGGACCACAGACAGAATGCTGGTACTACACAAACAGACTCTGTTGTGTCCATATTAGGCTTTCAAAAAAAAAGAAAAAAGAGGCCAAAGTAAGGCATAAGCATTACGTTTGGAACAAGCTACAGAAACAGTTGTGTTTGCCCTGATTGGACCATTTGCTTTTCTTGCTGTAGAGGTATTAAGGCCTAATCTCCTCAGTAATTACAGTAGCAGTATTAGTATCATTTGTTTAAACTGTTTAAAGCAAGTAAATTACCAAACACCAAATAGAACGCTTACACAACTAAAAGCTGTTTACATTATTTGCAGTAATTGCACTGCAGTGTATACATCTGCTACTTTATCATATTATAGCTAATCACACAAGTGTGCAGTATGTTTATCAAAAACATGTCGTGTAATGGAAAGTCGTTTCTGTATGCAGCCAAGTAACAAAAATAGACCCAAGATGGTTTTATGAGAATTTTAATGTGTGTAATCATAACAGTAGAATCGTCTTTTCTTAAGATCTATGTACAACAAAATATGTAGCGTTTACACAGACTAGTCCCCAAGCTCACATGCAAGTTTCCTTGGATTCCTTCTTCCTCAGACAAACTTACTTTCAGCATGAACACCTGTAATAAAACAGCATGGATAAGTTAACCATTCAACACTAATTACTAACCCATTTCTTAATATAAGAGATATCATCAGAAAAACCTTTGCTCACCACCACTCAATCTGCCGGTAATTCCAGCAAATTTTGGTTTATTTCATCATATGATATCCACAAATAAAAACTGTTACATTTCTAACAGAAGTAATACCTTCCTTTGCCTATTCTAGTGCTGTCAGCAAAACTGCAGTGCAGAAGACAGCTGCTCATACACATTTACCTTCAGTATTTTAAGCTCAATAAAGCATTTTTTTGGTCCTAGAATTCACTAGTTTTACTTTTAGATATAAGAACATATAGAAATAGGGCCAATAACAAAGTTTTTAATTATGTAACTTCTCTGAGACTGTAGCCAAAAAGTATCACAAGGAATTAAGAGCATACAGATTAAACTCACCCCAAACAATCTCCTGCTCTTGCAGTCTCACCTCCTTTCCCAGGACTTGTGAAGGGCTGTAACATCAATTGATAGACATTAGTATATGTGGCAGCAGAGACCCGGAAGCTATACTTAAATATTGCTGGAAATAGGTATCATAGGGCTTATTTTGAGGAGCAGAGGAGGGAAAGTAGATTGATTCAAGCTATGAAGGATGAACCTACAAAATTTGCTTCTCATGTTTTTGGCAACCTATAAAACCCATTTATTCTCAACTTGGATTTTAGATGATATAAAGCTCTACAGAGTCCAGTGAAATTTATCACTTACCTTCACAATAGGGCCAGCTCCCACCGAGCTACCTGCTCCCAGTCCTAATCACATCATGCTTATCTGGAAATACCAGGCATCTGCAGAGCAAATAAACGTTTCCTGATTAGTGCTAGCAGACGAATTTCCAGACAAATCAAACTGCACACACAAGTAGCTGTATTTCAGACAAATAAGAAGGTTATCGTCAGTTCTCGCATCTGACGGCACTTCCTATTCAAGGGTATCATCATCAACAGCCAACAACTTTTGCATGCCACTACTTGAAGTGATTGTTTAACTGCTTGTACATTTTTCCTTTTGTTGATAAAAAGGGTTAACTGTTAGCTCAATGGGACATAAAATGGTTTCGAGCAGCTTTATTTCCTTAACTAACTTTCAATTAACAGTCCTGTATTTAACTACTTTACAGTGTTAGCAATAAGGAAAAGCCTAGAACTTTCTGAACAACTTGGTGCAGTTTAGAAGAAAATAAACTTTAACTTACTCTTTGCTTCAAGACATCTTCCTGCTGGGGGAATAAAAACAAAAAAAGCATTGTTAGGGTACAATTTATTATGATTCTCTGGAATTACTACAAGTACAGTTATTGTAGTAACTAAAAACAATTAAAAACCACCCAAATGTTTCTCAAATAGCTTTCACTAGCCACGAACCCCCTTAAACAGTTTTTACTGAAGAAAACTTCCCTTGGGCTGGTTGCCAGAGCGTATTTGCCACAAAGGGAAGTTTTTCACGTCAAAAATCCACAGAACACCAACTAGAAAGTTGTAACGCTCGCTGCACGGCAAGGATTTGGTACACCGAAGTACAAACGAAAAAGGAAAAGGGATGAGCCGTTTGCTAAAAAGGGTAAAAACCCACATAAGGCCTCCGCCGCCCCCTCCGAAGCCTCTCACCCCCCAGAGCCCCGTCACGTACCGCGGAGCAGGCCCCGAGGCCGTCCCGGCGGGGCCCGGTGTCGGTGTCCGCCCGGTGCCCGCCTCCATGCGCGGCCTGTGGGGACGAGAGGAGCGAGGCCCCTTCTCCCCCCCGCCGCTGCCTCCCATGGTCCGGCCCAGCCCTGGGGACCACGAGGCACGGCCGCTACCACCACAGCCGGAGAGGGGGGTGCAAAATGGCGGCGCCCAACGGCCCCTCACGGAGCGAACCACACCGCCGCCAGCCGCGCTGCGCGAAAGGGCGGGAAGGAGCGCGGCCGCCGCTTATAAAGGGCCGGGACGCACCACTCTGAGGCGGGGGGGGGGAACGGGCTGGGCCACTGCTGCCGCGGGGGGGGCGGGCGGGGCGGAGGCGGCCATTTTCTGCAGTGGGCTCTGAGGGGAACGGCCCTCATGGAAGGGGGTGGCAAAAAAACAAAAGAAAACAACAAAAAAAACGTCTTCTTGCACACAGGGAGACGGGGATGCAGTGCTTTTGTTCAGAAAAGCAGCACTACTGTCCCTTTGTTACTTACATTCCAGTAAAAGAGGGGTTGTAATAAATATTGTATAAATTGTTACGAGGATTATTGTAAAAATTTGTTAATCAAACTGATGGGGTGTCCCGTCAAGCTGTTTTAACCTTTGTAACCTTGTGCAATTGGAAGGTCTCTAACTGCCGTATCCTGTCATGCTGCCACAACCTTAAGGTCTCCAACCACAACATGCCGTTAAGCAAATAAAATGTAGTAACTCGAATGTCCAAATAATGAAAGATGATCCTTAGCTGTATAAACGCTCGTATAACGCATGCTCCGGCCACCAAGCTCATGACCCACAACGCAGAGGAAGACGATGATCTTCATCCCCGCGACCACCAGCCCCTTTGTGTAATATGTTCATGTTCACCCTGCACCAAAATTCATGTTTTTGATGGCAGGAAAAGCTTTCTATGAGAAGCATTAGTGTGGTCCTGTAACTAGCCACGTAAAAAACAGAAACAGTTATATTTTTCTTCCGTGGTGTGGATTTGCTTGCAAAAAAAGCCCAACTTCTCATTTTTTGCAGTTTTTAAAAGTGGTAGATTCTAGTAAAATACATAGCTTGCACTTCTCAGCATCAGCACATTTATTTCTACAACAAATCACTCGAAGGTGGAATCCTTGTGGTTCCCTGACCACAAAGAGAAGAAAGTGGACTTACAACACAATTCTCTATGCAATCTCTCTCTAGGACAAACAGATTTGTTAACTATGTTAAGGAAAAAAAACATTCACTAAAGATTCAGTGCTCAATTTTAATTATCAAAACACAGAAATTCATGTTCAGGTAACTAAGGAAGACCAAAGGTAGCATTCCTGACACCAGCAAACACCTTTTCAAGGCTTCTCTGTACATAATCAAAAACCAAAACCAGGCAAACACTCAGTTACCAAAAGAAAAAAAAAATCCTCTCTGTAGGTTGCTTCAACAGTAAACTCTATTTTTCTTGCAGCTAAACTCCTGTGGTCTCATTAACACACACAACCCTCTCCCCAAAGCATAAACACAACAGACCCTACTAACATAGAGGCATTTCTAAGGCGTACTTACAGCTGCATGGAAGACAGAACCAGTATTAATGGCTCCTCTTCCAAGAGTGCAAGCCATTGCCTACACCACTTTCCTTGCCTTCATGTGTCCATTAGTTTGAATCTTTCATATCAGCCAAAGAGACTTTCTACTCATTCCCATTCTGCTTTTCAAACCAGTTAGTCCATCCGTCCTTCACCAGGCTCCAGTTATGAATTTTTACATCGAAACACAGTGGTTATCAGCAACATTAACAGCAGACCACAGCCAGTTAATGAGCTTAAAAACATGCAAGGATTCACAGCAACGCAGGAGACTATCTTCATAGACCAGATGCATGATCGGTATCTTCCTTCTCCTTTCAGAAAAAGGAAAGGCCATAACAGATTCAAAGCAGTAACACAACACAAAGGTTTACTGGCAAAAAGAGACTGGTTAAATGAAATTTAACAGCATCTTGAGAAATGGGTAAGGTAGGATTCTATTTTAAAGCTCTGGAAGGGATATTAATGAAAGCACACATTAAAATGAATTATTACAGTGATCAGACATTGCAGTCATTTACTCTCCATAGTACTTTTATGAACCATATTTATATATTCAATAATTAAATATAAAATCAAGGGTGACACAAAACAAGGAAACAAAGACATGAAGCCCAGTCAATCACTAGATAATACTTCAAGTCTCATTTTACATGCTGCTTTCTTACCCATAAAAAAGCCAATAAGAAAAGTTAACTGCAGATCCCTTGCTTTCGTGAAATTTCAAACCTACTCCAACTCATTTAAAAAAAGAAAAAGTGGGGAGCACAGGGAGAGAAAAAGTTGTTTGCTAAAAAGCAGAAAGGGGAAGAAACATTCACAGACATTTTGGACTGACAGAACCTACGATATATGGACAGAATCACACAATCTCTGATGCTGGAAGGGGCCTCTGGAGGTCATCTGGTCCAAGCTCTCACTCCAGCAGGGCCACCCAGAGCACACCACATCCCATCAGCTTTTGAAGATCTTCAAGGAGGACACGACCTCTCTGGGCAACCTCCAGTGCTCTGTCACCCAAACAGCACAGACGTGCTTCCTGATGTCCAGAGGAAACCGCTTGTGTTCCAGTTTGTGCTCACTGCCCTTTATCCTAGCACTGCGCACGCCTGAAAAGACCCTGGCTCCATCTTCTTTGCATCCTCCCTTCAGGTGTTTATATACATTGATAAGATCCCCCCCGAGCACCCTCTTCTCCAGGCTGAACAGTCACAAAGAGAATGCAAACACTTTCAGACTGTCATCATGTAGCACTGTTTTTGCCACCTGTTCCGTTCAGCTGAATTCAATGTGCTCTCATCATTTCTTATTCAGAATTGGCAATCAAAATATCTGCCATAGGCAACAGAAGAAAAAAAAAATGCAGCTGCACTCTGATCAAACGTTTCACCTATCTAGAGAGGGTATGCAGATAAAAAAGCTGAATGTAACAAGTCAACCATGTGCACATTCACATGTACTATATAGTAAGAACATTCAAAAATATTGACATGGGACAGTGATCCTATAGTTTTTCTTTTCTTTCAGTTATATATATATATGTATAGTTAGACAGCACGTAGGAGAACATCACTATAGCTTTCACCATGGCCAACAGGAAAATTCTCACAAATATAAAAAGGTAAGTTTTAAAACTGTTAGATTTCTTCAAAACAACACAGCTGAAATGAGAGAAATGTCATTTCTCAGTATGTAACCAAAACCAAAGCACCCTTGGGAATTTGCAAGATTCTTTCCAACACCCATCTTTGCAGTCTTGAGCACTGCTAGACTAATCCCTACTAGAGCAGAACACAGTATGACCAAAACAAACGAGTAGAATTCTTTGAGAGCAGTGATGCTGTATGGATTCTACACAAAA